CTAGCTACCCCACAAACATCTGCTCTCCAAACCTCCACGTCCACATTTGACTCATCTGTCTGTGGCCCACCTCCTCACCCCCATCTTTCATGGACCCAGGAACTCCCCCCACCCAGCCCTTGTGTAATTACTCAAGGTGTAGCCAGACACCCAGCTGCCCTTGCTGACCATGCCCTGCAGCAGGCGAAAGAGCAGCATGGACGTATAGTCTGGGGCCACAGCTGTCAGCACACCCGACAGGGAGGTGACCAGAGTGGTCGCCAAGAGGCACAGCTTACGGCCAAACCTGCAGAGACAAAGGGATGGATTAAGAATCTGGGGTTAGGCATGCCTATATCCTACCTGTCTACCTGACAGACTCCTTGTGTATCTCATAGATCATTTAAATACATTTCCAAATTCTGTGCATCTAAGTTAGAACGCCTACCTCTAGCCTGAGCGCAGGCCCACAAACAGCTGAGACTTGACTGCTTAAGCCAAAATGATCTGTTTCCACATCCCTGCTCAAAGAATAACATTCTGTTTCTCTCAGCCCCACTCCTCTTCCCAATTTGCACGCCAATTCCACAATGGCCTGGCTTCTCTGCTGCCAGTCCCAGCAGCCTGAAGTCTCTACAGTCACATCTTGTCTGCATCACCCTTCACAATAGATCCTGGCCAGCCACACTCCACTCTTGCCCACTCTGCAAAGGCTGGCTCAAATGGACCACCTTCTGGTGCAGAACAATTGTCTATATTCTGTCAATTATGTTTTAAACAAGTGCTGATTGGCCAGTAGTCAGGCAGGAAGTATAGCCAGGACAACCAGACAGGAAGTAGACATGGGGCAATGAGAACAGGAGTATTCTGGGAAGAAGGAAACTTTTTCCGCATTCCTCCCCCAGACACCGAAGAAGCAGGATGTGACCTGCCCTGCCAAAAAAGGTACTGAGCCATGTGGCTAACATATACTAGAATAATGGGCTAATATAAGTTATAAGAGCTAATACGAAGCCTGAGCTAATGGGCCAATCAGTTTTATAACTTATGTAGACCTTCTTCTGTGTGATTCTTTGAGACCTAACGACTGTGGGGACTGGGCAAGACAGAAACCCCAACAAGCAGTCCCTTCATGTTACAGCCTTCCATACCTGTCCGCAAAGTAACCCACAATCAAGGAGCCGAGGAAAAAGCCCAGGTTCACACAGGACTGGAAAAGGTCTACCTTCCAGGCATCTCCACACACCAGGTTAAACTGCAGCAGTGGAGAGAGAATAAAACTGAGGATCATGGGAAAGCCAGAGGCCGATTCCCATCCTCCACCAGATGAAGCAAACTGCTCCACAGAAGTTGATCCCCCCCCCCTCCAAGGCTGGATCAGTTGTGTCTAATCTAACACACTTTCTCAAGTTGCAGAAAGCATCAGTATAGGTCAAGCACTGTCATGCCCAGCTTCTTCTTGACTCTGTGTCTGTGAGAAAGGCTATTGACGGCTTTGTCATTGGTAGTTGGCTACCATTGTGTACAAGGTGTCATTCTGAAAGGAGCAAGAACAGATAAACATCCTCAGAGGGGTTTTTAGCTGCCAAGAAAGCGCTTCATACAGAAACACAGCCAAGAGCCAGGGAGGTGACTCAGTGGGTAGAGTGTGCAAGTGTGAAGACCAGAGTTCAGATCCCCAGCACCCATGTAAAAGTCGGGCACGTGACACATTCCAGGCAGTGATGTCGCATGATGGGTGGTGGTGGTGCATGCCTTTAATCCCATCACTGGGGGGGGGGGGGGCGGGGTGCAGAGGGTACCGTTGATGAGCAGCTCCCAGGGTCTTCCTGAGCAGCGAGGCTAGCCAAAATGTGGAGCTCTGTCTGCAGAGACAGATCCTGCCTCTCAAAGCAAGATGGGAAGTGCCGGAGGAAAACAATGTCAACCTCCAACCTCTAGTCTCCTTTGGCAAGCACCTGTACACACACACACACACACACACACACACACACACACACACACACACCAAGGGAACATAACCAAGTGCAAAGATATGTAACAAAGGAAATGTAAAGCCAGGCACAGTGGCCCATGCCTGTGACACCCGCACTGGGGGAGTGTAGACAAGAAGGTAGAGTCGAGAGGATTAGGAGTGCAGGGTTATCCTCAGCTACATAGTAAGTTCAAGGTCAGTCTAGGCTCCATGAGACCCTGTCTCAGAAGAAAAAGAACCATAGCCATATTTTTCAGAGCTTGAGGATATTATGTACTTACTTGAACTCTATCACCAAAGGAGCTGTGAAAAGCAGTGAACAGAAGGGCCTAGACAGAGGCAAGACAGTCGGGAGGGCTTCATGGGGTAGAGTCTGAGAGGGAAGGGTAGTCCTATATGACAAGAGCCAGGGGTAGAATTAAGCAGGAGACGGAGAAAAAGGACAGGTGTGCACCTCTGTTTAGAGACTTGGAAGGACAAAGGCAGGGGAAGGACCTTCCTGGCAGGGCACATCCTGGGCAGGGTTCGAAGCCTGTGAACAGCAGGTCACTTTCTCTTCGAAACTGAGTGGCACAGCCAGGACTGGCTCCAGGCTGGGCACCAGTGCTGAATGGGGCCCTTTGCCCTCCCCGGTGATGACCCACCCTTCTGAGCATCCTACACTCTCTGTCCCTCTGTTCTCTTCTGTTCTGTGCCGTGAAGCCATGGCTCTAGCAGCCTGGAGCAACACTATGGGGTGTGATAGCCACAAAGCAACTTGAGGCCCCAGCTTCCCAGTCTGAAGCATTCACACTGGGTCCCTCCAGGGCTGCTATGAGCTCCAGAGGTAAGACACTGGTAAATGATGAATCATTTTAAGTTCCATGCTAAGATCTATTAGCTATTCAGTGATTCTAAAGTTGGCATACAAGCTATACCCTTGACCTGTCACGGGATCAAACACTGGGTCTTAGAGACGCTGCACTCAGCTCCTGAGGGCTGCATGACTGACCTGTGCATCTTTGACGCCGCCCCTCATTTTCCTGAAAGATACATGATATCATACATAGCCACTCAACACCAGGCAGAAATGGCAGCCTAGATATCCACCAACCTATGACCAGACACTCTTTGCTGCTCTGGAAGGGTGACAAGTTCCTGAACAGTGTTACTCTGACACTCTCCACCTACCCCAGCCTAACACACACCTTCGTGTGGTCCCTGTGTCACACAAGCATTCAGTGTGTCCCTCTGAGGCCCTGAATTCGCAGGGTTTTCTTCTTGCTCTGTGCTCTATCAATAGGACACACGGGGACAGATCAGTCCTGGGCACCACCTGGGCACCACCTGGGCACCACCTGGGCACCACCTGGGCACC